ATATATATATATATATATATATATATATATATGTAGGGTAGGCAATAATGAACCCCTCAATCAAGATACTAATTCTGTTGTATTTCAAGTGACTTTTTCATGTTTAACATATACATTGCTAATGGTGATGGATATCTTGAACGTACGATATTAGACTGATTCATTTGTCATATTATTACAGCTTCATTAAAGAAGGATTGTTGTATTACTTGAAATTTTTTCCATTTATTTGCCCATGCTGTATGTTTTTCATAGCCCAGTGTAACACTTGTAACAAGGGTTAGAAATGCAGCCTTTTCAACATCATTTACGGGTCTTACATGTTTGTTATTTTGAAGGATGCTGCCTCAGCAAATACGATATACTAGTGTTACCTGAGTAACTGAGACATTTGTGTGAAAGGTTATCATCTCAGACACAGTTTTTGGATAAGGTTTTTCCATAGATCAGTGTAACACTTGTAACAAGGGTTAGAAATGCAGCCTTTTCAACATCATTTACGGGTCTTACATGTTATGTTACAATGCCCACAATAATATTTGTAATATTTTTGATGATCACCATTCAGCTTTTATTTTTCAACGGATTGAAGCGACTGATGGTATATTTGTGTTTTTACAATTTTGGACTTTTGAAGGATGCTGCCTCAGCAAATACAATGTACTAGTGTTACTTGAGTAACTGAGACATTTGTGTATATGTCGCACTTTACTTTCTTACCCTCTTCAGTTTTAGAAAAGAAATTCCATTTATTGTACTGCATACACATTAAGAATGTAAAAATAAAAGGAACCCAAAAATACTTACAGTGTATTTTGAAACTTTACGGCAGCAAGTTAAACTCTTGTCCTACTAAAACTTGCATGCATGACTTAATTAGCTAAAACTAAACTGTTGAAGGACAGGGAGAAGTTTGGACTGAGTCTGTATTGCACTCAATCAAATTTTGAATGGGTGTATGAGGTAGGGAATGCTAACTCAGCCAGAATGAACACACACACACACAAACATTACAAGCTTTACTGTTGATGATAATCAAAGAATATGATGGATTGCCTCAGCCATAATATGTACCTGTATTTCAATTTAATATTCACTGTATTATTTTATGAAATAAGAATTTTGCACATGATACAGTAATAATCAATACAAGTTTTTGTGCAATTATATATTAAAATATGATTAATCATTTAATTATAATAGAATTAGAAAATATTTTGTTATGGTGTGAACTAAATATTTGTTGAAAATATATGATCACATGTTAATATGTTTGGCCATTAGATACCATAATCCTCCTTGCTTCATCCAAAATGGTGAATATTGTTTCTTAAATAGAAATTACCTGAACCTCAAGATTACTATAAAGGGTGATTGATAGCCTATTCTGTGAATCCTAAAATTAAGAATTTGACAAAATAACCGCTGTTCAAAATTTTTAAAAACTTTTTTTTTAAAAGAAAAATTTATGACTCCTATAATAAATTCACTAGTGTGCCTTACATGTGTGATTATTAAAACTGATTGTTGGAACTAATAACTTTTCTGTATTTTGAATATATTATCCTAACAGTAAACATTCACAAGTTGCATGTTTATCTGAATGGTTGCACAAAGAAATGCATTAAAATAACCATTAGCTGCTTGTGTACTAATATAATAAAAAACCTGCCATCACAGTCTAAAAGCACATGAAGCTTAGGCTGTCATACCCGAGTTTAATATTCTGAGAGACATTTGTAACTTTAACATTGTGAAATAGGTTTGTGGATGAATTACAGCTAAAGATTGGGACAATATTGTGATTCTCTTACCCATTTTTGTGTTGAACAATAAACTTTTTTTTTTACTTTATTTTATTGCCAGTCAGAAACTACTAGGACTTTAAATTAGAATATACAGCTTATCTTGGTTTAATCATTCTTTACTAAAACTGTATTTTTTCACTTATGTTTTATTTTGTGGCTTAAATTTTATACTGCCTGTTCAAAGAATTATTTCTTTCATTCAGTTAAGAGTTATTGCTTTTTAACATTCGTAGTATATGACTTATGTTGCAAATTTTACAATAATATATGAGAGCTTTAACTATAATAAACCTGGAAATGTAATGTATCTAGGCTGTTTTTGTATTTTCATTTATTTCATTATTTAATTTACTAGAAAAAAATGTTGTATATTTGAAAATACACTGTTCATTAAGTCAATTAACACTTTGTGGAATTGTTGTTTCTTTTCAAAACTGAAAATTCAGCAGTTATATTACAAGCCAGAGACAAATATTTTAAATGCAGTCACACACATGAGAAAAGTAAACTTCAGGCCTAAAGAGAAAAAAAAAGTCTTAAGATGGTAATGGTTTGAATAGTTTAAAAAAAAAAACATTATTAGTTAAGAATAACCACTAATAGAAGTTTATCATTACAATACCTTATACTAACTACCTATATAGTGAAAGAGTTAAAAGGGCAGTGTTTATCTTTCATGCAAACAATTATATAATTTAGTATGATCATATCTGATATTGAAACAGAATATACTTGTATGGCCAATAAATTGTAAGAGTGTTGGTTTTCCTGATAATATATATATATATATACACACACATACTGTCATTATTTCTGTGCATTTCGTTGTATGTTAAGTATTATCTTTTGAAGTGGAATGTAGTGAAACATTGATTCCTAAATTTTGTCCTGAAATCTAACAAAAATTTAGTACACTATATTTTTATATTAAAATGCTTTTCATCTCACTTAAAGAAATTTCATTGGTGAATTATATTTTATTAGTTTCTACACATATAATTTTTTAGTTTTTCACATGAACTATTCAGTATTAAATATATTGATTAATTGTGCCTTGATAAAGTTTATAATAGTTAGGAAATTATTTAACTTTATAGTGAACTTGGAAGAAGAGCTAGAGAGGAAGCCATAAGAAAAAAGGAACTGTTAGCTAAAGGATACAATCTGCGAGTAGAACTTGGCAAACAAGGAAAGCAGAAGAAAGAAGAATACAAAGTGAATTCTTTTACTCATATCTCCTTCACTATCAATAAACCATGCTTATATTATCGCAGCTCATTTTATCCTGCCACCAATTGATAAAAATAAATAAGAATATAAATAAGAAAAAAAGAATATAATGTTGTATTATTGTTATAATCTGTTTATGTTTCAAATAAATCCAAACATTAAACACTGGACAGTGTTAAAAATGAATGATTCAATGGGTATTTCAGGTTTGAATAATGTGGTTCATTATTGAGGTAAAACTCGCATATTTACAAGATCATTACATCCAGCAGTATCATTTTCTGAATGTTATTAGAAGTATAATTATGGCTGGAGACGGCTTGAATGGGTAATGAAGAAAGACTTTAATATAAGTTTAACATAACAACAAATGTACAAGGTTTTGTCATCATCAGGTACCTTGTCGAAACGTTGTGCATTTGCTGTTATGTTAAACTTATATTAAAGTTTTTCTTCATTACCCATTCAAGCCGTCTCCAGCCATTATTAGTCTCAAAGTGGGTTCCTTGTCATCGAATTTATTAGAAGTGAATTTGCAGTAGGTTTTACCTTTGTATCATATGATAGTGTTATTTAATTAGATTTGTAACCTTTTAAGATTCTTTCAAAATTAGAATGAACCTTTGTTTATTTTCAAAGGCTTATTTAGAAAAACTGAGAAAGGAATATGAAGAAACTCAGAAAGTAAAGGAAGAAAAAGAAGGTTTGTAGAAAATTTTTTAACATAATGTTTGATAAACATGACACTTGTAAGATTGAAAAAGGTGATGTTCAGTAACGAGTTAATAAATACCTATATGTTTTTTCTTTCAGTGAATTTTTTCAATGAGTGGAAAAAGTATAAACAACCAATTTTAAAACAGCTATTGCAATTTACATAGACTGAAAGTTTTGATAGAATAATAGGTTAGACTAACTTTTAAGACAAATATACATGTGGCTTAATCACCTTTACAATGTTTTTGAAAGAGCACAAAGTATTTAGAAACATAAAAAGATTACAAAAGTAAAATATAACAGTAAGTGGGTGGTGATGACTAGCTGCCTTCCCTCTAGTCTTACACTGGTAAATTAGGGAAGGCTAGCAGTCTCCCCTATATGGAGATTATTACAGTCCATACATGTTGGTAGACACATGATGGAGCATGTCCATGTTCTGTTATTTTAATACTTAAATTTCTACCAGTCTCCCCTATATAGACATTATTACAGTCCATACATGTTGTTAGACATGTGATGGAGCATGTCCATGTTCTGTTATTCTAATACTTAAATTTCTACCAGTCACCCCTATATAGACATTATTACAATCCATACATGTTGGTAGACATGTGATGGTTCATGTTCTGTTATTCTAGTACTTAAATTTCTAACAGTCTCTCCTATATAGAGATTATTACAGTCCATACATGTTGGTAGACACATGATGGATCATGTCCATGTTTTTATTCATTTTTATTAAAATTATTTGGTTATCTATAAAAGTAAATAAATCGGGCTTTTTGTAACCTTGTTCTAAATGAAAAACTATGAAATAAAAAAAAAAATCTAGCTGTCCAGACTAAGCTAAACCATGGGCTGAAAGTGAGTCTGACATTTGTTTTTGTTAAGTGTTTTTCCTTTATTATATATGTATTTTTAATAAAAACAAAAACTTATTAAAACCATTGGTTTCTTTTAGAAATGAAAAAAGAAGCAGAAGAGAAGGAAAAAGTTGCATTAGAAAAATACAAAGTTGAAGAAGATGGTAGGTTTGTGGATAAAAGCTCTTGGCATTGCTTACAGACAAAATGTTTAATAGCTCTTGTACTTTTTAATATATATGTAAAGGATATTTTTGAAATTTGTTTGATTTGTATTTAATTGTGTTGAACTTTTAAATACTGAATAACAATCTATAAAACATTTAAACTATTTATTTAATACTGATGTAGTGATTTTTTTGTATTTCATTACAAAACATTTAAGTTATTTTTTAACGCTGATATGGTGATTTTTTTGTATTGTTTTAAAAAAACATTTGTTATAGTCACAAAATGTTTTAACATGAACTACAATTTGGTGGATTGCCAGACAAAAAAAATCAAAGATTGTCAGTAAGAATTTGGGAAACCCTCAAGAGCCACAGTTTGCCCATAATTAAGTGTGGGATTTGTTTATTTTCTTCCCATCCTACCATTTGACTCGAGCTGAAAGTTGGCTGTCTCTTGAATTTAATACATAGATTTGCGAAAGCAGTCAAATATTGTTACTGATTTTTATTAGAAATTAACATAGAATAATAAATTCACCAGTGATTTTGTTTAGAGATGCTGGATGCTTATGTTGTTAATGTCTGAAGGAATGCACATACATCACTGTAATGTTGTTATTGTCTGAAGGAATGCACACACATCACTATAATTATGTTGTTATTGTCTGAAGGAATGCACACACATCACTTTATTGATGTTTTTATTGTCTGAAGGAATGTACACACACACATCACTTTAATGATGTTATTGTTTGAAGAAATGCACACACACACATCACTTTAATGATGTTATTGTTTGAAGAAATGCACACACACACACATCACTTTAATGATGTTATTGTTTGAAGAAATGCACACACATCACTGTAATGATGTTGTTATTATTTGAAGGAATGCACACACATCACTTTAATGATGTTATTGTCTGAATGAATGCACACACATCACTAATGATGTTATTATTTGAAGGAATGCACACACACATCACTTTAATGATGATGTTATTGTTTGAAGTAATGCACACACATCACTTTAATGATGTTATTGTCTGAAGGAATGCACACACATCACTTTAATGATGTTATTGTCTGAAGGAATGCACACACATCACTAATGATGTTATTATTTGAAGGAATGCACACACATAACTTTAATATGATGTTATTGTCTGAATGAATGCACACTCATCACTTTAATGATGTTATTGTCTGAAGTAATGCACACACATCACTTTAATGATGTTATTATTTGAAGGAATGCACACACACACATCACTTTAATGATGTTGTTATTATTTGAAGGAATGCATGCACATCACTTTTAATGCACTTGCACACAAACATTGCTACTGAGAAAATTTAAACAAAGAAGATTTTGACTTTCTAACAAAGCAAATGTGTTGTGCATCTGTCATCTGTTTTGTATATGTTGATCCATCCAAGTATAAACTTTCATTGTATTAATTAAATGTAAAATATAGAAGTTAAAGCCAAGATGGCTTTATTACTGTGAACATTTTATCAGTTCATAATAACTGTAGCAAATGAAAAATATATCTAAGATGGCAATACTACTTTTGTTTTACATGAAAAGTTTTGGATTTTCAATCACTGAATTTTCATTTGTTAAAAAAATTCTAGAATATTTTACTCTATAATGCTGGTACACAAAACCAATTATGTATGCCTTTTTAACTTTGAGGAATCAAAAGTAAAATTATAAACTTGTGTTAGTGTAACAATAAAGCTTTTGTGTAAGAGCAGTAGTAGTACATTTCAGCAACACAGTTTTTAAAACTTTTTTCTCAAAGTGTTAATTTTCTTTTACAGGCTTTCTGTACATTCTTTAGTTTACTTAGGGTTTAATATGCAGCTTTTCATTTCACTTAGATTAAAATATGAAGGAAAATAAATGATTTTAGGGATAAGTTTATTCTGGTTCTTATGTTGGAGTGATACAGTTTAACAAATAATGAAGTGTCTGACATCTTAAATGTATTTGTGGTTAATTATTGTAACAAAATAAAATATATTAGCTTTCACAGAACATTTTTCTCTGGCCTTGAAATGTAGCAGTAGCATTTTTTACATTGTGTTATTTGATTTAGGCTGATTTTTTTTATTGAAAATGATATAACCAAGTTTTTGTTTCTTCACAATGTGATATCAAGATTTTTTCTTCTGTTTCTCTACGTCTTTGAGTTGTTAATGCTGATGCATGATTCAGGTTGTGAAGAGATCTTATGACTATCTATCTTAACATCATGTCGTTATCTATAATCAAAAAGTTATTTTAAAAATTCATATAATGAAGCTATTGTTTCTGACATGGCTACCAGTTACACTAATGCAGAAGGTCATATAAAATACAAAAGATGGCTTCTGGGAGAAGGCTCGGCATGTCTAACAGTAGATGATGGCTTTCTTGGTTGAAATTTCTCTGGAATAGTTCATGACTTTTCTCATAATTGTATTATTTTATTTTTTGGACCCCTTTAGTGATCATTTAGCTGTTGTCACCTATGTTTTTCTGACGATAAGGTGTTGGCTGATTTTCCAAAGCATGAGTTTGTGTGATATAAATAAATTAATATATGTATGTATGTGTGTGTGTGTGTGTGTGTATATATATATATTTTTTTTTTACTCATAACTGATGGAAGAAAAAAGTTTACATACATAAGTAAGGCTATGTGGGTTCTGTTGGGTATTTTGAGTTTTCCACAGAATTTTAAAGAAGGTTCAGAGATCAGACAGTCAATAGGTGACTGGAGATTGGAGAGTTTCTTAAGTTACTTATTTCTTTATCCTATACTTTGAAGACAATAAAATAAGAGGACAGAAATTTAAGATTTGAAAAATATAACTTAGGTATTTTTCTGATATGGTGATTGGCTTTTGGAAAGAGTTACCATTGGCTGTAATAGGATTGGGCATCTTACTAGGGTTTAAGATGATTTTCTAAAAATAAAGATTGGTTTAAATTTTTATTTGTTGCTCATTTGTTATCTTGCACTCATGATTTTATAGTTGTCTGGTGACAGGATTGGTGCTTCAGAGATGAAGCTAAATAGAATAGGATGGTGGAGCTTCTGTAATTCAAAAATTTGGTGTGTGTGTGTGTGATTCAACAGTGCATTTTATATTTGAAACCATAATTTTAAATTCATCATTTCAGTAGATGATTCTTAAGCTGTTTGATATTTTTTATTAACTGAATGACTTCTACATTCTTGAGATTATAAGAATGATGAATTTTAGGAAGTTACTTAAGAATATTCACCTTTGAATCACAGTTTTTTCTATATTTTTACTAATAGGTTTTTTGACTAGAATATTTTCTTGTAGGTTCATATAATTCTGTATACTTATTAAATATTGCATTGTTTTCTTAAAAGATAGCTTTGTCCAACTGATTTGTCAGTGATTTCTGTCAAAGTTTTACAAAGTTATTAATCTTTTGTGTGTGTGTGTGTGTGTGTGTAGGTGGGCAAGTGCTCAATGCAAATAATTGAAAGATATTAGACTCAAATGTATCTTGAATATACTGTTATAAGCTGTGTTAATGTATTGAAAATAAACACTAATGTTTTATGTGATAAAAAGTATGTAAAACATGTCATTAGAATTTTTCTTAAAATACTTGCTGCCATTTACTAAAAGTTTAATATCGTCATTTACTTGAGAATATTAGGTTTAATGTTCGGGATAAAATCTTCACTAGTTGCTTAGGGCAGAAGTTCTCATAATATAGGTTGAAACCACCAGGAAATTTAGGAGGACTCCTAAAGGGAATGATAATGGAGTTGGGAAGATGCACTAAATCTGTTTGAAGTTTTTGTTATGTGTGATTAAACAATGATACATTCAAAGAGCATTGCTTCCTCCTGTCAACCTCTTTACTGTCTTGTGCTATAAGTTTTAGAATTTAGTCTCTAAAAGTTATGAAATAGTTTAAAAAGTGAACTGTATGTTTAGAACTGCACTGTTGCAGTGGTATTTCTTTGTAAAATAATTCTTTAATATTCTCTGTTGATTTTTAGTTACCTGACAAATGGGGGGGTCTTGAGTTGTTCTCGTAAGAGGGATACCGAACTGAAAACATTTGATAACTTCTGGCTTAGTGAAAGATATTGCTCATTAATATCTTTGAAGCCTTCTCATAGTCTCTGTTTCATATAGCTTATGTTTAATACATTTACCAGACAAAAAACATCAGCAAGAGGAGCTTGACGTGTTACGCCACCGACAAGAAGAAAAGGTCAATGCCGAGAATGCTTTCAATACTCTAGATAAGAATGAAGATGGGATGTAAGTCTTCAGTGTAGAAATAATGTGTACTCTATTAATTATACATTACTAAATAAAAGTAAAAAAAAATTACTTTTAGATTTAATTTTGCACTACTGGTTTAAAGGTCATATCCTCTTCTATGTGAAGAATTATGTTCTTGGAAACTTTGTTAGTATTTTTAAGATAAATTTTTGTTTATTATTTGTAGAGTTAACAGTTCATGATTTTAATGCTGAAAGTTTGCATTTTTTGTAGATGAATAAAATCGTTTGTCTTACTTAAAATAGGAAAATGGAAATGGAAAGTAAGTCAATTTAAATTTTTATTCAAGACTGTTAAAGTCATATAAAGATTTAAAAATCATACATAATGTTGAAACTCTTGCAATACTTTCAGCTATTCTAAATTATATGATTAATTGATAGTGTTATTAACCCCAGACATACTCTTTGAATATTTCTGTATGTTTTATCAATTTCAGATTTTATATTGTCGTCTATTATAAATTTCTCTATAATTTTTTGTGTATGCATTATTTCATATATATATATGAAATATATATATATTGAAATACTTACTTAAGTATTTTTAGTTTTTATATTGTCATAAATCCCTACATAATTATGTCTACAGAGAGAGACAAAGTGTGTTTCTATTCTTTCTTCTTCCAAACACATTTTAATTGACCACCATTTCTTCACTTTTTAGAAGATTGACTTGAAACTTGTTAGGGTTATACCTTGGTCCAATACACCCAGATATTTTTTTTTATTTAGGCCTTTTTAAGGGTTTTATGGGGTCAACAGTTAAACAACTCAAAAATGTATATTTTGGGCTCCTGTATGGTCATATTTACAGCAGTCGAGTTTAGATTTGGCACAAATAAATTTTCATGCACTCAACAGATTGATTTACAAAAAAAAAGTGGGATTTGCCCAGAGCTCACAAAGAATAATAATTTTGTGGTTTTTTGGTCAATTTCTCAGCCATATTTCAACCAAGTTATAGGGGATTTGGTACAAAGATACTATTTTTACAGTTCCCATACATATACATACAAAAATGTTTGCTATGCCCATTTTTGGTCATTTGGTCAAAAGGTTAAATAAATCTGTAATTTTAGGGGTTTTGGTCAATTACTTAGCCTTGTTTCAATCAATTTACATGGAATTTGTTACAGAGGTACTCTTTGCAGTTCCCAAACAGAGATATAGGTAATTTTGAAACATTTGTCCTTTGTTCAATTTTTTTGGTGTGGAAAGTACAGTTTGGGGTTTTTATGAACTATTCATGTGTATATCAACCAAATTACATGGATGTGGTACAACAATACCGTCTTGCAGATCCCAAGCAGTGGTATAGACAGTTTTCGATTTTTCTGGTGTCAAAATTGGCCATGTTGGGATTGCGTGGCAGAGACCTATTGCATATTTCTGCTTATGTTCGTCTCTTTAACTTATTTTGTGTATTCATAATTTGATATATATATAAGAAGTACTTATTGAAGGACATTTTTGTATAAAATGTTAGATTTTTAAAGAATTTAATGTTTCAGTTTTAAAATTTTATTCCTTAGCCTCACTGTAGATGAACTTCAACAGTGTCTGAAGTTCGATCAGAATCGTGATGGGGTTGTGTCCAAAGATGAAGCTATGGTTCGTATTATTCAGATATTTTGCCATACAGAAACAATGAAATTTCATATTTTACAAGCATTTGTTTTCTTCATTGTACAAAGTATTAAAAATAGAAAAAAAAAAGATGCCTAAAGACTTACCATGTTAAAAATGATATCTACAGTTTCATGATTACACAATGATTGAAAGTCATTTTGACTGTACTTGTATATGGAGAGCCAATGAGTGTGTTATGTGTCATGAATTTAAAAGTGTAACTTCCTCAATGTGTTACATGTATTTGAACATTTGACTCCTATTTTATTGTGCTTTCAATTAAAACATTAAAAAAACATAAATGTTTTTATTTATCTATTTGACTTGAAACAAAAAACAAACCATTGTTGAAGATGTAAATATTGATAATCTTTTAATACACTGACTGATCTTTAGTTATTATAAATTATTGCATTGATAAGACTAATTGACAAATTCATATTGAGCATGTAAATTGTGAGGTATGACTATATTTTTTTTAAGGAAATCGTTAATAAGTTTCTTCTATGTTTAGCTCTTTCTACAAATGAAAGAAGAAATGGAATATGAGGAGTTTATCAGTACTGGTTGGATGATAATGAAGCCTATTTATATGATGGATATAGTAAGTAGATTATATTCTCATTATTATGACTGCATTTAGGCATATGAAATTTTCAAAGAATTGGTATGAATTATTTGATACATTAGTACATAATTTTCCAGTTATTTACAAATAAGAAATAACTTTAAATGTTCTTTTTTTAGATGTAAGTTTCCAATGTTTGATGAACAGTTAGATATACTTTTTCCTTTATTTTTTTAGAGGCAACATTTTTTGATGAAACCATTTTTAGTATCAAACAGTTTTTGGAGTGGATTCTTAGAAACACTTAAAACACTTGCACAATCATTTCTTACTATTGACAGAATTTTTGGGATGTTCTCTAAGTAAAACTAAGTTTGGTTGTAGCTTACTGTGGAAGTGACATACTATTGACAGAATATTTGGGATGTTCTCTACGTAAAAATAAGTTTGGTTGTAGCTTACTGTGGAAGTGACATACTATTGACAGAATGTTTGTGATGTTCTCTAAGTAAAACTAAGTTTGGTTGTAGCTTACTGTGGAAGTGACATACTATTGACAGAATGTTTGGGATGTTCTCCAAGTAAAACTAAGTTTGGTTGTAGCTTACTGTGGAAGTGACATACTATTGACAGAATGTTTGGGATGTTCTCTAAGTAAAACTAAGTTTGGTTGTAGCTTACTGCCAATGTTAAAGTTTTCTTTACACTTGCCCTTAGACTAAAGGATTTTATCCATCATAAAGACTGTTTTCCAATTACCCATTGTCCATAACTCATCTACATGTAGTGGGAGACAGTATGACCTCATATGTTGGCCAAACTAAGTAGTGTCTTAAAGTATAAGCACATTATTAACCTTACAGAAATATCAGTCAACACAGGTAGAAGAGGCAACAAATCTTCATACTCTGTGATAGGTATATCCAACTTTACATTTCTTGCTTCTACTAAGTCTGAAATCGAACTTTTGATAAAAGAAACCTTACTAATTAAAAAAATCCTTCTGTGTCGCAACAACATACAATCTTCATATGACTTAAAATTGTTCTACTGATATTTTGTTTTAACTCCATATATCTATTACTTTTATAATATTTGTTTTCATTCCTAATAGTGGAATCCTTCCTGATTCAAAACATGTTTTGTTCCCTTATATTCATGTCTTATTTTGTGACAATTATAGGCACATTTTCTGGCATATGAGTCCGAAATTAACAACTTTTAGAAATACAAAACAACCTAAGTATTTCATTTAAAATCTTATTTTCCCGAAATCTGAAACCTGCATATGTTTATAGTTTTTGGAAAGTTTTTCAAATCTATTGGTCAAACAAAGTATTTATGATATACGATTCCAGTATTACTTGTGGAGTAAAGTTTTACAACTTGGTAGAAAATTTAACTTGTGATCAATGGGCTTTGCAAAGTTATTAAAAATTTTGGAAAGCTCTTCAATTAGTAAATATTTACATACAGCACACTCGGAATACTCACCGTATGACATTAGCTCTTCAAGAATCTACTTTTATGGAACTTGTGAAGGCTTTTGCCTATGTGCAAAATTCTTTGATCTTTCAGATTACATAATTTTTAATATTTACAGACTTCTGCCCCAGAAACACCAGTCGTACATTCGTCTTCTGAAGAAGTGGCAAGAAAAGAGGATCATCACATTCAAGAAGATAATCAACATGAGGAACCAGTGGAAGGAGATAGTAGTGAAAATGTAATTATTTGTATTGTGGTTAAAGAGACTAATTTATATATATATATATATTTGCATTTTGTAAAGGCCTGAAGAAGAAAAGCCATACAAAGTAACTTGTGAATTTATACAATGTTTATTTGTATCTTGTTGTTATATTTTTAAAACAAATTTCTATTTTTCTCTTAAGTAATAAGTAAAATGTACAGGATAATTAGCTTTAAGTATTTCAGTTCAAAACTCTGTATTTCCATTTATAATGAACAGATATTTATTGGACAAGTCAGAATTACTAATGGAACTTTAAATTTTTTCCTTCTCTGCCTGTATCATTTTATGAGTATTATTCATATGATCATAAGTCACAGCAAAATGAGTACTTAACATTTGAAAAAACATTAACATATAAATATGCTATAATAATATTTTAAGTCAATGTTATAAAGAGTAAAATTGAGGTAATATTGTAATACATAGATCAATCAATCAATGCTTTGTGGATGAGTTAAGTGACATATTTGTAATGTTTATATTTTTTAAAATTCAGATTTACAAAAGAAAGAAATTAGAACATATTCTAGTGTTAGTAGTAATATCCTTCAAATGCAATCAATTTTTAAGAACTTAGGTAAGTTTTTTGACATTACCCCAATGGGACAACAATAAGTCTATGGGCTTACAGCACTAAAATCCAGGTTCCGATTCGGTCTTAGCTCCTTTCTTACAAAGGTATCTCAATCTTCTTTCTGCCCCCTAAGCATTGCTAAAAGAAGCTTGTTAGAAGATTTCTATGTTTGGCCAGTGATTTCTTCTCATTTTCAACCTGACAATGTTTCTGTGAATGAATACAATCAAGGCGATGAAAATTGATTCACTTTTTTTCCACCACCTTCTTATTTTGGTCTGTCACACACTACACTTTTTTTTTACAGCTGGTTAATCAAGTATGTGGTATATTACATGTTTCCTTTTCCTCTTAGTTCGCAGGCAGCATTGGTCAGATTTTTATGCTGTTAATGTTACCAGAATCCTTTACCACTCCTCTTATGTTGTCATATATCCAGACTGGTCCTTCCTCCCTAAGACCTCATTTACCTGGGAAGGCCATTTGGTTTCACACCCTTTTCTTTATCTCCCACCTGTACTCCAACTCTGATCCTGATTGGCTTCCTTGTCAGGTTTGCTCACTGAGGTGTTATGTGGCAAGTACCACCTCCTTTTGGAGTTCACATTCCCGACCTTTTAATCCCTGGAACCTTTCTGTTTCTCGTGAACTCTTCCCTGTCACACTAACTGGTTGGGTTCATCAACTCTTTAGACTGGCTTATTCAGACTTATCCATGGAAGGTCACTGTCTCCTTAACACTTCTTTTCATCAAATGTTTCATATCACCATGTCTTTGGCTGCCCATCTTTGTCATCTGTTGGAAGAAATCATTCAGGCCAGAATGTGGACTACTCCCTATTCCTTTGTCACTAATTATCTGCACTATATGGCTGTATCTTTCTCGGGTGGATATCGTCTCCCTCCTGTGATGATTCTACACACGTCCATTCGCCTTTGACTTGGGTATGTCTTTTCACAACATTTAATTTATGTTTGCTTTTCAGGAACCATCTTTTACCACTACTCATAGGATCCCACCTTGTGGTAAGTGTTGCCTGGTCAGGTGTGCTTTTACTCAAACCCACACTATATACCGGTAGAATTATATTGCTTTCTGTAGAGATTGGGCGTTCTGCAAGACTGCTAGTGGCATGCCTAGTGGTATATACTTGTGTCTAGAGGTATCCTTATGTTTAATACAATGGTGGACTGTAACTCGTGGACTATCATGACTAAATCATTTCTGCCCATTCCTGCCAACCCTTTGATTGCATAACTTGGGGATAGTCTGATTTTCAGAGTAGGAAATTGTGGACACCCATTGCACTTTCTCCAATGTGATATTCCTCTGGACTCCACACCACATTTACCCCCCTCCTTTTTCTCCAAGTGGAGCATGGGTGTCCTCACCACTTACCTGTTCCTAGTCACTGGGGTGGAGGACCAAGAAGCTTCCTCCTAAGTGTGAAGTAGAAATTTACCTTACAATACATGGACCAATTGTCAGTTGGATCAGGACCAGCCTACATGGGACCCTCCTCATAATACTGGGTTCAGGATGACACTGCCCTGTTCCCATGGTTGAGTGCAGTAGAGGCCCCCCTTCTCATTAATTCTGGTGGCAGGAAGGTTTCCTACCTTGCTCCTACGGTTGAGTTTGGGAGACTTTGTCTGCCTCATAATTCAGGCAACAGGACGTATGTACACTGTTCCTACGGTTGAACAAATGTTCCACATCCATTTCATAATTCTGGGTGCAGGATGTCTTCCATGCATTTACGGTTGAATGAGTTACTGTTCAACTAGTAGTGCTAAATAGTTAAAGGGGAGTGCTGGTTTTGATACATCTGTATTTTATTTTGCAAACTTGTACATATATATGCTGTGTATCAGTCATACATTATCATCGTCGTGTAACTATTTTTTCTTTTAGATTTGTTTAATTTGTTAGAATGTCTTAAATTTAACATCACGTGGAAACTGCTTTACAAGTCTACAATGTTTTTCAAATTTGATATATGTATTAAAAATTATATTTATTCATAGGAAATTTATCATCCTCCAATAAATGAAGATGATTTGGATAAAGAAGAATTTGATGATGAGAATCCTCATCCCCAAGTTCAGGAAGATGAACAAAAACCACCAGAAAAACAAGAACCAAAATACGATGAAGAAACACAAAAAATAATTGATGGTAAATGCTTGTATTTTAGTTTTCAAATAAACTTAAAGCTCAAAAACTTGCAGTTTTTTCTTGTTTTGTATATGGGATTAATTACGTAAAAACTGTATTGTTTCATCAGGAAAAAAGTTTAATTTGGAATATAAAAATAGTGACATGTATAAACAGAAGTTGTTTTTTAATTATTAAAATATATTTCTAACAAGCATTTCTGATAATTATTGTGAATTGTTTAAATTTTTACAACAAAGCATTGTTTGGATCTATATCATACCTGAGGAAGACAGACCAATGCTCTGTTGAAACATGTAGTACGTATTCAAATATTTCATTATGCTTGCAAATCATTGTGTCTTATATATACAAGCTTCCTAGCATAAAGCATCTCTACACAAACATCCATGTTTAATTTGATCTTATATAATGGTGCTTTATTCTTTATTTAATAATTCAGTCACACTAAAAAAAAATTCCTTCATTATGATTTTAAAACTTATGAAACTAGAAATTTTCTCTTTCATGACTTTTTCAATACATAAAAAATGTTTGTACTTGATAATTATCATAACAACTGTGTATAATTTTAACTTTGATTTTATCTAGCTGCTAATGAAGCAAGAGAAGAATTTTCTAAAGCAGAAAAAGAATATAAACGGATAAGCGATGAAATTGGGTAAGGCGAATTTATATCCTGATCATTTGAATCTGATCTTTTATATTTTGTATGACACAATAGGTTTGTACAAATCTGGCTTTTTAAATGTGCAGTGCTGTGTGCATTAATTGTTTATTGGTTGTACTGAGCCTAAATTAAAATAATTGTTTCAGGAATATGTATGAAAGTAGAAAATTAGTGAGTATAAAAATCTAAGTTCAGTGTTGTTATGTTACCCTGAAAATATTAGTTATCAGTATAAACAAGATATTGCAATTACTGAAGATACTGTGAAAGATATCAAGCACTAATTATTTTTAGCTCTAACTGCTGCAGCTAATAAAGTTAGTTGAACACATTTCTTAAATATTTGTGACTACAATCTAATAGGAGATCAACAAGCCCATGATTAAGAGCGGGTATATAACCAAGTTTGAAATTAAAAAAATTATCTGAAATATTCAGAAATAATTAACTTTTTTTCCTTTCTTTCTTTTGCCGTGTGAGTTGGTCATTTTCGTACAACTTTGAAGGAAAGATATTATTTCTTTTTTCAATGCCATTGGCACAAATATGTTCTCCCCTCTCAAACACTGCCACGTGAATTTGTAATTTTTGTACCTCCTCAAAGAAATGATATTCCCCTTCAAACTTTCCCATTTAGTGTATCTAAAAATAAAGGTGACATGAGAGATTGTTTATTCATGAACTTGGTAGTGAGAGTTAAATCCCTTCAACTATATCAATAATTGAATGTTGTACTTTATTTGAAGATAATCTTTCAAAAATGTGTAGATAAAGATTTACAAATGTTTGTTCAGTAATTTTCTATGCACACACACACACACACACACACACACACACACATCTTGAACATTCTTAATAAATTATTAAGTTAACCTGTTTGTTTTTGATGATTAAAAAAATCATTGGTATTTGGATTTTCGTATGTGTAGTTTACAATAAGTTCCTTTATAAAAATATTGGGTGTTTTTTTTTTTCAATTATCCCAATCAAAATTGTGGTGTAATGATATAAATCAAATTTGAAAGTTGGTTTCACCTGATTTTTTAAATCTTGAATTTTGTTTGAAAAAGACAAACAGAGCTCACCAAAACATTCTTTTTCAGTTTCTGTTTTGTTGCAGTTATTGGAAATTATAATTAATGATTACACCTTGGAGTTTGCCTAGTATTTAATGTGCCAGGTTGTAGATTGGACGGTTGAAGGTTTGATATGTCACTGAACATGCTTCGTATTTTCAGCTGTATGGTTGCTCTATATGTGACAGTCAGTCCTGTTAGTTGGATAACTTCTGAATTAGGAGTCTGATGTTGCTATTTAGCATGTGTTCTCATGAGGTGTAATTCAGGTTGAAAATAAAAACATCAATATGACTATATAATGGAAATGTAAAATAAGAAGTGAGAGAGTATAGATTTATGAGATGAAATTTCATTAAGGCTTTTTAAAAGTTTTTAAATATTTTGATGGTACACTGAATTAACATGTAACATTGTTTAACCTATTCTGACACAAGTTTTTGTTTTAATCACTTATTTTTTCATTCTAGGAATACTGAACAAGTGTTGGAAGTAGATTTTGGTCCAAATGAAGAATTTTTTACCCTCAAAGGTCAATGTTTTGAAATCACAGATCGAGAATATACATACTCTCTGTGCCCTTTTGATCGAACTTCACAGAGGCCCAAGGATGATGGTTCAGAGACTAATTTAGGGTAAATCATAAATCTGAAATACTTGGTTCAACCACTAGTTATAATGTAAGTCTAATAGCTAAAACATGTGGCTTTTAGACATCATATTAACTCTCTCAACATGAACTGAGCTGATTTGACTGGCCACATGACCTCTTTGTACTCATATAAAGTCTTTATAGATTTGATACTACTAACTTTTAATATAGTATGTATATCTTCACAAAATTTGCAGTCTTTTAGTAAACATAAGTCTTTCAAATACAAAAAATCATAATTTTTTAAAAGTATTCTAAATAAACTAAAAAGTTTTTCGTGAATACATTAGTATTTGTGTTGAATAGTCCATGTTTAAAGTGATTTTCTTGTTAAGATTAAAAATACTTTTCTTCAACTCAGATTTGATTTGTGTAATTTCTAAAACCTCCTAAATAAATACATTTCAAATGTTTGTTTTATATTTTATCTGTAACTCTATACAATTGGACCGACCTCGTAACCACCAAAAAAAACCTAAATTACCCTTTTTCTTTTTAGAATGACTTCAAAATGTAACATGAAACTACATTTGTTTATCATAGGTAGCTTTAAGCTCGTAACAATATACATCTATTTATAACTAAATTTTATTGTTTTATTGCCCTTTGAACCATGTCTAACTATTATTCGTGCCATTTTAAGTTGTAAGTCACTTGGGAAATGTAGAGCTCACATTATGCTATTGAATTACATTACCTATGAGCTACTCGCATGTGTGCCTCATTAAACATTTTTATTATATTATTATTATTTATTTTACCCAATTTAACATTAACTAACCTAAAAAAATCCCAATTTTGAAATTTTAGTTACTTTTGTAGTAATAAATAAAGAATAAACATGAAAAACAAAAAATAAAGTACTCACCCAAATCTTTTTTCTTGATGTTGATTGTCAATGATACTTAACCCGACTTTTTTATATTAATAGTAGTAATGCACTAAATAATTTGTATTTAATTAAATAATACACAAAAGAACAGAATAGTAACATGCAATAAGTAGACAATTTCCTTTAACTATCACAATTTTTCTGGCTTTCTAACTATACTTTCTAAACAAAATCATTCAAGCTAGTCATTATCTTTCCAGTGGGAATGAAGCTTGTACAGTGAAACTGACAATTCTCCATTCAGAAAACAACATTATATAATATGTCATTTGATAGATGAAAATCTTGGCTTTCTATTGGTTATAGATAATATAGAATTAAACATAACAGAAAACTATTAACAAATCTTGAAAGAGAGGATGTGACAGGTGGGTGTGGCATGAGGGGTCTGATTTTCTATTTGATGGCTTTGTAACCAAACAAAATTGAAGGCTATAGAAATTATGGTTTGTCTGAGCAGTGATGATTTTATAGTGAGTAATTTACATTGAATTTCCTACTTATTGGAGGGGTGGTGGGTAAAATAGAGAAGAGGAGATGCCTAGAGAAAATGCATCACACTAGGGAAAATATAGGATTTTTTAAAATATTGCCTTATAAAATTAAGAAATTGACTTATATACTATTAAAATATGGATTATTAGCTAAGATATTTTGCTATACTAATTGGTATAACATAAAAAAAAGTAGATTCATAAAATTTTGAATGTAAGGCACTAAAACCTCGTGACATGAGCAGTAAAGGGTGCCTGTGGCAATAAGGTTAATTCAGATGGTCTGTATTTTTTATAGCTGATTTAATAATCAGTCTTGAATTTGGTAGATTGGAAGTAATGTTTTTAAACAGTTAATATTAACTAAAATCAGTATGAGTAGTAGTTCACAAGTCTAATGCTTGCTTTAGAAAGGATGAACATTCCTTGACATTAAGAACAAGAAATATATTATGATGTATAGAAACAATATAATATAAATATAATGTATTTTTTCTGTGTACTGCTACAGACGTTGGGGTCGGTGGGTAGGGCCTGAAGAGAATAAGTATTCCAAGATGAAATATGAAGGGGGTGTAACTTGTTGGAATGGCCCAGCTCGGTCAGTTATTGTAAGTATTTTAGATATACGTGTATACATAGTATTGATAGGTAATTGTTTCAGATGTAAAACATTTTTTATGCTTTCTTTTTTTACATGTTTATTAAAGTATTTGTGTGTGTATGTAGCACTGCCTATGTAGGGATGGCTTGGATTGTTCATTGATTGTATTTTAAATATCTTCTCAATGGGTAATCAGAACCTTACAATACTATACAGTGTTTTCTTTTATAACAATATCTATGCAATGACTGAGTCACAAGTTCTGGAAATGTCTGTAAATATCATAGCTAGAAGTGTAAATTTTTTATTCTTCTTTCTTTTACTTATCTTTTATTACATGATAACTCAAAAACCAAAACAGTGATGTCAACCAATTTTGCTGAGGTGATATAGTTTCAGATGGAGTATCCACTTTTATAAGTATCATTAATAACTAGTAGTGATTTGAAAAAAAAACAACATAATTTTAGTGTAAACGATGTTATCATTACCCCTTGAAAAAGCTCCTTTAAAAAGCTCAAGTACTGTGTAAAACAGAAATTACCTGCCAATAATAGATAAACAATAAATATTACAGATGGAACCATATTATATTTAGAACTTGGTTATAAATACAACATTCCTATGTCTATTGAAACACTGCATTAAAAAACTAAGCAAACAAATAATAAAACACTTTTAAAAAGGAAGTAAATATAGGGGATGGCTAATACCAATCCTTCAAAAACAATGCAAACAAGATAATAGGGATGGCATTTGTAGTAGAATGTTAACAGAAAAAAATAGGATAAATTAAACTCAATTGTGATTGAATAGTTTTATATATATATTGCTATATCTTAATTCTTGCCTGTGCTATTATGTAGAGATGATACAAATGCCATCCTTACAATCTTGTTTACCTTGTTTTTGAAGGATTAATATTAGCCATGTATACATTTACTTCCTTTTTTTTTGAAAAGTTTTTTCTTTACTTGTATAATAAGAAACTACTTAAAAAAGGTGTTTATTTCAGGATTCTAATTTGGTTTTCTATGATGAGCCATGTACATATTGTTCATGTTTAAGATTTTAGCTAACATTTTAGTATACACACTTTTTCCCTTTCTTGTTAAGACTTTTAACTTAGTGACGTATAAAAGAATAGAAAAGGTGGTTCAACTTGTATATATTGCCACTATAAAAATTTCAACATTTAATATGTGCACAATATAGAACCACTTTCATGGTTACTATAATTATAGATGTGATTTCATGATGAAAAGATGAATGTCTAAAATATTTGTAGTTGTGTAAAACTTACTCTTTTTGAAGTAGAACAACTATCAGTTGGAATGTAAATAGTGTAAAACTTACTCTTTTTGAAGTAGAACAACTATCAGTTGGAATGTAAATAGTGTAAAACTTACTCGTTTTGAAGTAGAACAACTATCAGTTGGAATGTAAATAGTGTAAAACTTACTCGTTTTGAAGTAGAACAACTATCAGTTGGAATGTAAATAGTGTAAAACTTGCTTGTTTTGAAGTAGAACAACTATCAGTTGGAATGTAAATAGTGTAAAACTTACTCTTTTTGAAGTAGAGCAACTATCAATTGGAATGTAAATAGTGTAAAACTTATTCTTTTTGAAGTAGTACAACTATCAATTGGACTGTAAATAGTTTTTCTTATGCATAAGTGACTTAATTCTAGAGAAAAAAAAAATATATATATATAGACTGAAACTAGTTACATATAATAGTTTTAAGCAATAAAACAATATTTTCAAAGTGGTTATCATGTAATATACATTTGTATTATGTAGGTGAACTTACAATGTGGAGTACAGAATATATTAACTTCTGCTTCTGAACCAAGTCGCTGTGAGTACTTATTTGAATTCACAACACCAGCCATGTGTTTTACTCCTCTCAGTCAAATGGATGAAACAGAACATGTTCATACAGAACTATAACTCGAATCTTTCTTATCTCTCAACATATACACAGGCGTTATGAAATTTGGTATTCTTTGTTTTTGAAGAACTTCTCTACATTGCTTTTTGTAATTTAATTAGTCATAAATACAGCAGTATTATTAAAGTGTTTAAGTTGGTAAATTGGAAAGAATGGCCATATAACTATATCTTACTAAGTGTAATGCATAAGGAGCTGCTTGTTAAAAAGAGAGAAAGTAAGACAAAGATATTGTGGAATTTAATGTTATTAATGGTGCTTAATGAGATTAGTATTGATGCTGTGAAATATATGGGGATTAGAAGATAAGGAAGAATGTGTTTAAAATGAGATAAAACTTCAGTTGTAATAAATTCGATTCAAAAGTCAGTTGTGCTTAGTAAAATCTTTAAAAGAAAAAGTCTGAATTGAAAAATTTGATTTTTTTGTATAAGATATTACATGTGTTTGGTTTCTGTATACCATAGCCACTGAGAGAAAACTGTATTGTAATAATAGAATAATACATTTAAAATTGCACTTCTTAAATAAATAGTTTTAATAACATTCTTAAAATGTTATTGCTTATTGTTCATAATCATTTTTCTGATAATTGTATTTTGTCATAAAATATTAACATAGTTTTTGATGTCTATCTAAAAAAACTAAAATTACTAAGATGACCAACAATAATATTTTTTCTGCTGAAAACAATTTAAATTATTAGAAATTGCAGACTTTAGCTTTTTATCTAGGTTTTTGTTATAGAATTTAGTAACTACATCCATTCACTACTCACTCATTCTTAATGAATTTGTATACTTTATAAAGAATCAAAAATTCAAATATTCAAACTCACAATTTTGAATATTGTTGAAAAAACTTAATTTAAGCTTCAAGTTGAAATTATGTAATTAAAGTAGCTTTCATTAATTCTTTGCACTTGTTTTCAGTTTTATTTGAATGTTTGTGAAGAAGGAAACAGAAAGTTCCTTTAAAGTCAGTTGGCTCGTTGAATTTTTAGGGTTAGGAATTACACTTATTAATATAATGTGAGATATCATTTTTAGAAGATCCTAATTATGAGGTTTATGAAAACAGTTAAGCATGCATTTTAATGGTTGAGGTTTGGTATATATATATATATATATATATA